AGTTAGTAACATGACTGTAAAAAGTGAATCCGGCTTTGCTTGCCGGAAGGTTATAAAAGGTAAACGCATGACCCTGGGACACGGCACCCGTCATAAATATGAACCCGTTGCCAAGCATCCGAATTCTGATCATGTGACCACGGGGAAACGCTGCAACGGTCGTGTCAGCACTCTAGTGCTGGCATAAAGAGACGAAGAAGACGCTTGACTTTTCACCTACTTATTTTCTCTGTAGATAATATCCCCTAGGAGATGGGATGGGAGGGGGGGACATTCCTGTGAGTTGAAGTAAAGAAATGGGGAGACTGACTTGGAAGATGGCCAATGAGACGCTGAGAATTGGGGAACGGAAAGGGAAGGGTTTGGGGTCGGAGGGTCAGTGTCGGCTACGACGTAGTCGGGGACAGATTGTTGGTACTCAACAAATGAAAGATTTCATCAAAGACTTTTTGTTTGGAAATGCAATTTATTTGAGACGACATCGTAACCTGACAGGTCGTAAGCGTGAAAAGTCTTTTTTTTCCCCAGTGCCGTTGTAGCTTCAGTAAACGAAAGGTTGTAAGCCGAGGACCGCCTGTACTAATACTGGCCCAATTAGTCCTTGGCTTCCTTAGCTTCCTCTTCCAAGACATTTCAAAATCAGGGTTTGTTTGTTTGTTTTTCAATTGGTTGGACGTGATGCTGAAGACCTCTGGGTACCCTTTCTGCCCGGAGAAAGATGATTATCTGATACAGTCAAGATGCGGTTGTTACGATCACGAAGATCGGATGGAAAACGGTGACTTTTCAGCCCCTTCAAATCTCAGCTTCTCTGGTGCTTGCTGTCTGTCTTGCATGCCCCCGTATTCTCCGCTTTAGCTGGGATACCTCTGGCTGTTTTTCTTGCAGGGGGTTAACATGCGGTTGCTAAGCAATGGCATGGCAGACCTAGTTCTCCTGCGCTTTGTGTCGGTGATTCCTTTAACATGCTCTTTTAAAATGTACACAGTCATTCCTCTTCTTAACACCTTCCGGGAAAGGCTCGTTTCAATTGCCAAGCTTTTTCTTTTTTTTTTCCTTTCCCCATTCTGTCAAAAGACTTCTGCAGCTAAAAACCCAGCTGGGCTGAAGATCGTGCATCACACACACACACACACACACCCAAAGCCACTATTCTGACAATATTAAGAGCCTTGGTAGTACAGTGGTTTAATGCACCCTGTTATTAACACAGCTGCCTGCAATTACTGCAGGGTTCGAATCTCGCCAGGCTCAAGGTTGACTCAGCCTTCCATCCTTTCTAAGGTAGGTGAAATGAGGACCCAGTTTGTGGGGGCAATAAGCTGACTTTGTATAAATATACAAAAGGATGAAGGCTATTGCTTAGCACATTGTAAGCCACCCTGAGTCTCCGGAGAAGGGCGGCATATAAATCAAATTAAAAAAAAAAAATATTGGGAGTGAGAAGGGAAGAAACAAAAGAAATGTTTTTTATTGCTTTCTCGAGCTTCGGTTTTTCTCCTTGGTGCAGGAGAAATTGGTTGGAAAAGAATACCTGGGGTGTAAAAGTCAAGGAAAAGTCCACTTTTAAATGAAATAAGAGAAAAAAAACACGGGGTAATTTTCTGGGTGCTCAGAGTCCTCCAATTGTAAAATATTATTATTATTATTATTATTATTATTATTATTATTATTATTATTAATTATTATTATTATTATTATTATTATTATTATTATTATTATTATTATTATTATTATTATTATAGAGGGCAGAGAACAGTATCATTCCAGTGCAGGGATGGGCAGCTGTGGCCCCTTTATGACCTGTGGACTTCAACTCCCAGAATTCCTCGTCCAGCTGGCTCAGGAATTCTGGGAATTGAAGTCCGCAGGTCATAAAGGGGTCGTAGTTGGCCACCCCTGTTCCAGTGTAACACAGATTTCTCTTCCGTATTCAATGTTTAAGATTGTAAGTGTTTTGGGGGAAGGAAGGACAAAATTCTCCTCTTCCTTCTCTTAATGTACGATTGGCCATCAACGGGCCTTGAAAATTCCCCACCACAGTACAGCCAATCCTTGTTTAGCAACTGCCTCATTTAGCGACTGGTTGAAGGGGATGAAAAAAATAACCTTAGGACCAGTTCTTGCATCCCTGACCTTCATGGATCTGTCAAGCAAAGGAAAGCTGAAGTCAGATCATACTGTAAGCACCATCCCCATTTCACTTAGCGGCTGCTTTGCTTAAGGACCAGGCTTCCAAGTCCCAGGTGCAGTCACTAAAGGAGGACTTACCTTATGATTGACTTCCCCCAGTTTCTCCAAAGGGAGAAGGAATTTTTGGACAATTTCTCAAAGTCAGGATTTCCACTTGGATTTAAGGTAAAGATAAAGGCTCCCCTCGCATATACATGCTAGTTGTTCCTGACTCTAGGGGGCAGTGCTCATCTCCGTTTCAGAGCCGAAGAGCCAGCACTGTCCGAAGACGTCTCCGTGGTCACGTGGCCGGCATGACTCAATGCCAAAGGCGCACGGAACGCTGTTCCCTTCCCACCAAAAATAGTGGTCCCTATTTTTCTACTTGCATTTTTTTACGTGCTTTCGAACTGCTAGGTTGGCAGAAGCCGGGACAAGTCACGGGAGCTCACTCCATTACGCCACACTAGGGATTCAAACTGCTGAACTGCCGACCTTTCGATCAACAAGCTCAGCGTCTTAGCCACTGAACCACCAAACTTACTTGACTTACTTGAGAGGAAAACGGAACCTCTTGAGAACAGCCTCCTCCTGTTTTTTTTTTTTTTGTGTGTGTGTGTGTTAATAGAGGTGTAGAAAGCAGGAAGGCCTTCAAACAAACCCCGCAAGAGGAGACTTCACAACCAACAGCAAGAGGTTTGCGTATTTCCCTTGGCTAATTGGGAATGGAACCTGTGCGGCAATGCCCCACATCACATCACCCTCCGGGGAATCCTCCAAAATTCCCTTCAGCTTTGAAAGAGGCTTTAAAAAGCAAATTCTCTTTCATCCAAGTGCTTGTGAGCTGGTGAGAGAGAGAAGAAAAGCAGGAAAATTCTCTGCTTTATGTTATGGATCATGATGACATCACACACCACAGTTTTGATTGTTACAATCCCTTTCAACTGTGCTCAACTGCCTCGCATCGTAGGAGCCCACCGGTCCATTCAATTCTTATAGGAAAAGACCAAAGAAACATTCAGGAAATCCATGGATCAATACCCTAAGGAGTATGATTATTATGGTCCATGGCATAAATCAGCCAGATGTTTAGACTGGATTTGGCATTTTTGTCCACCTATTGAGTCCTTTTCAAGAACCTGGGAGAGGCAGATGTGGCTGTTTGATGGTGTTCGAAGTATGTAAGCTGTTCCAAGTAAAAGCTGCCTTTTGCAATTGACAGATGGGGATTGTGTCAGTACTCAAGTAGTGCCCCACATAATTTGCAATTGCACCGAAATTGGTACCATCTTTTGTTTTCTCTTGCCACACTTCTATTTGGTTTTGGTGATTTTCTCCAGTTTTTCCTTCCCAAAAAGTGCTTTTCAAGAGGCAACTTTCTTTCTTTTTTTCCCCTTGAAGACATTTCGCTTCTCATCCGAGAAGCTTCTTCAGTTTTGAACTGAAGTTTTGAACTGAAGAAGCTTCTTGGATGAGAAGCGAAATGTCTTCAAGGAAAAGAAAACAACAACAACAAGGAAGTCCAGCTGTCTTTAGTTCTTCCTCTTCTCTTCTGCTGTCTCCACTTACTGCCACATCCACTATCATATTTTTATTTTATAAAAATAAGACATATTTTTTTTGTCTTTCTTATTAACAATTCTTAAGTCTGAGGGGTTATGTAACAGGCGCCTGTTTGAATTCTAAAGTCCCAGAGCATCATATTGGATTTTCAGATGTACAGGTAGTCCTCAATTTACACCCCCTTCATTTAGTGACCGTTGGAAGCTACAGTGGCACTGAAAAAAGGTGACCTATGACCATTTCCCCACACTTACAACCATTGCAAAATCCCCATGGTCACATGATCCAAATTCAGACACTTGGCCAACCAACTCATATTTGTGGTCGTTGAGGTGTCCCAGGATCGTGTGATCCACTTTTGGTGACCTTCTGACAAGCAAGGTCAATGGGGAAGCCAGATTCACTGAACAACTGTGGTCCTAAATTAACAACTGCAGTGATTCACTTAACAACTGTGGCAAGGTCGTAAAATGAGGCATAATTCACTTCACTGTCTTGCTGAGCAACGGAAATGTTTGGGCTCATTTGTGACCGTATATCGAGGGCTACCTGTAACCCAAGAGAAAATAACCTGATGAACACAATCTGATATATGTCACTCATGCCCTGGTTACTTCCCGCTTGGATTACTGCAATTCCCTCTACATGGGCCTGCCCCTGAGATGCACCCGGAGACTCCAGCTGATCCAGAATGCAGCCGCACGGGTTGTTACGGGAGCCCCTCATTACTCCCATATAACACCCCTCCTGCGTGAGCTGCACTGGTTACCAGTGGTTCTCCGAGTCCGCTTCAAGGTGCTAGTCCTCACCTATAAGGCCCTTCATGACTTAGGTCCGGGATATTTGCATGACCTTCTCCTGCCTGCCTCTCACCGTCCTGTTCGCTCACATAGGGCTGCTCTCCTCAGGGTTCCGACGGGGAGCCAATGTCACCTTGCTGTGCCCAGGGGTAGGGCGTTCTCTGTGGGTGCTCCCACCCTCTGGAATGAATTACCTACCGAGCTCCGGACGGCTCCTGATCTCCGCTTCCGTCGGGACTTGAAGACTTGGCTGTTCGAACAAATAGGCTGACTCTGATCCCGGGTTTTATTATTTACTATTAATTAATTCTTTGGATTAAATTATGATTTTATTGTACTTGTTTCTTAACTTGTGTTCGCCACCCTGAGTCCTTCGGGAGAATGGCGGCATATAAATACACGTAATAATAATAAATAAATAAATAAATATACCAATCTTTTTTTTTTTTTAATTATGATTACCAGGCGAAGAAGCTAAGATGCTAATAAGAGGCGTTTCGACTCGAAGAATCATGATTCAAGGTGAACAAGACGCTGACATTAATCCCGAAGTCCCTCCGCGGTGTTCTCCAAGTTCATGTGAGGACACGTTTCTCCTCATCACCCAGCCTTTCTTTTAATGAAGTCATTTTTCTCCAAGGCATTTCCATGCTTTAGCACACCTCATAAATACAGCTTTCCGCGAGATCTGTGGCAGGAGAGGAATCGGTTTCATTTCCCAAGTGGTAACATCTAAGTCTGCTTGTGGGGGAATCTGGAGGCTTTCAAGCGAATGGACAGACGAGGAGACCCCAAACTCTGCAGGAGCCTCACTTAGCAACGAACAAGGACATATATTCAGAGTTGGAAGGGACCTTGGGGGTCTTCCAGTCCAACCTCCTGCTCAAACAGGAGAAGACCCTGTTACCATTCCAGACAAGTGGCTGTCCAGTATCTTCTTGAAAGCCTCCAGTGATGGAGCATCCACAACCTCTGGAGGCAACCTCTGTCCCACTGGTTAATTGTTCTCACTGCCAGGAAATGGCTCCTTAGTGAATAAAATCCATGCATGTTTATGAAATACACGCCAGTTGCCACGTTTTGTGACGGTGAAGATGGTGCAACAGTTGTAAGCGCGAAGACTGGTTCGTCACTTTTTTTCAGGGCTGTAAGTGGTTTGAGGGCGTTTCTCAACCTTGGCAAATTGGACATGCAGGGAGAACAATTAATCAGTGGAACAGCTTGCCACCTGAAGTTGTGGTTGCTCCATCACTGGAGGTTTTCAAGAAGAGATTGGACAGCCCAGGATGGAATAAGGAACCTTGCCGTAGGCAGGGAGGTTGGAGTAGAAGACCTCCAAGGTCTCTCCCAGCCCTATGCTTCTAAAATGTCTGGATTTCAACTCCCAGAATTCCCCAGCCAGCGTACCTATGCAGGTAATCCTCAATTTAACAACCGCAATTGAGCCCAAAGCTTATGTTGCTGAGGAAGACGGTGGGGCAGGCTCTTGCAAATAGCCCCTTCCATCCAGGGGTGGATTCTACTTACCTTTACTACTGGTTCACAATGGGATCGTGCATGCGCGCTCACTTCGCTCGTGCGCACACCTTGCTTCTGCGCATCCGTAACTGCAGATAATAATAATAATTTTATTTCTATACTGCCCTTCTCCCGAAGGACTCAGGGCGGTGTACAGCCTATTAAAAGCACAAGACAAACATCAATTAAAATAATTTAAAATTATTAAATAATTCGGCTCAATTTAAAACCCCAGAAATTTAAAACACCCAATTTAAAATTATTATGTTGATAGCCCAGCCTGGCGGAACAACAGGGTCTTGAGTGCACAGCGAAATACCCGGAGGTCGGAGATCTTACGCATTTCCGGGGGCCTCCAGAATCACTGATGATGACATCTGGGATGGTGGGCGGGGCCTCCTGCCAGTTTTACTACCGGTTCTTGTGAACCGGTCCGAACCGGGGGCAACCCACCACTGCTTCCATCTCTCTTAAGTTTCTGAGCAGACTTCTGGTGCTTATTTCTGAGAACTAAGAACAATCCACCAATGGAACAGAAGTTGCCTTCGGAAGTTGTGGGAGCTTCATCACTGGAGGCTTTCAAGAAGAGATCGGACTGCCAATTTTTGTCAGAAATGGTGTAGGCAGGGGGGTTGGACTAGATGACCTACAAGGTCCCTTCCAAATCTGTTAATCTGTAAATCTGTAAACTTTGAGCGGTCACTAAAAGAATAGTTGTAAGTCGAGGATTACCTGTACAGTTTTCTCCAGTTTCATGAGGGGATGCAAGGTTGTGTTGCCCTGTGATGAGTCAGAGGGCACCGGCTAGGTCAAGTCTTGTAGTACCAAGAGCCTTGGTACTACAGGGGTTTAAGGCACCCTGTTATTAAGCTTATTAAGACCAGCTGCCTGCAATTACTGCAGGGTTCGAATCTCGCCAAGGCTCAAGGTTGACTCAGCCTTCCATCCTTTCTAAGGTAGGTGAAATGAGGACCCAGTTTGTGGGGGCAATAAGCTGACTTTGTATAAATATACAAAAGGATGAAGGCTATTGCTGAGCACATTGTAAGCCGCCCTGAGTCTTCGGAGAAGGGCGGCATATAAATCAAATTTAAAAAAAAAAAGTCATTTTATTTGTGTGTGTGTGTGTGGGGGAAATACTGGATTTCTTTGACATATATGGCATTCATTTTCTTCAATTTCCTTCTCCGAATCTGGATCTCTGCTGACATTTACCTGCTATTTATTTGTTTAGTGTCAGGGTGTTGTGCTGCCTACCTTGGGAGCTTCAATCTACAGCTTTGTTAGCATATGTTTCATTTTGACATTTCTGGAAATGTTCAGCATTTGGGGGGGGGGCCCACGCTGGAAGAAAAGTTAAAGGAGGGTGGTGGAGGGAAAGTTGGAGGTGGCATTTGAATAAGGTAAAAAGCTTCCTCGTAATAAAGCCAAGCAGATCCCTTGGAGATTACCAATATCTGTATATTTGCAGAAATTAATTTTAGCAGTTGAGTAAGCAAAATCGCTTCAAATCAACCTTATCTAGAAAACGTTTTTCATTCTGTAAAACACCAGTATTGATTGGTGGCCTCTGATTGTTGTTGTTGTTGTTTTTTATGCAGTTCGGTTGCCCACTTTGAAAATCTAACTTTGAAGTGAAGCCCTGATCTATACCGTCAACTATAGATTTTTATTTCTATAAAAGCGTAGGCACAACGTAAAATATGATAAGAATGGTTTCCAAACCACAGTGTCTTACTTCCCACCCAGCCTACTCAGTCAAAGTCAAAGAAACCATCACATGTAGCCATTGTGGTCTGTTAAGCGAGCGTTTAAAATAAGCCATAAATTAATATCAAGCACCCAAAACCTAGGTTGACATACACCATATGCTATGGTCTGCTTTACTATAAATAAGCCATGTTTGATGGTATTTACAGGATATACTAAGCTGCAAGTGATCTTTGACTTATGACCAGTCACTTAGCAACCATACAAAAACCAGGTCTTAGACCTGGTTTTGACATTATGTCATCGCCCCCCTCGTCACATGGCAACTGACCAACATTGATGATTATTTTCAGTGTCTCATAGTCGAATAACCATGATTTACGTTTTTGCTGGAAACTTTCATTTTTTGTGGCAAAAAAGCTAGTTTCTGTCAAACATTGGAATTCACTTAATGACAGTGACATTCACCTTAATCGCTGTGACATTCACTTAACAACCTCTGCAAAAAAAAGGTTGTAAAAACCAGTTCAGTCATACGGTGACCTGCTTTAATGATGCCATGACTTACGGACATAACTGGCAGGCTCAATTCCAGTCATAAGTCAAGGACTACCTGGTTTAAACCTCATGACAGTCAGATTCTCACATATTTCTAAGCCAAACCTAAAGAAACCACAATGTGGGCTTAATAAGGATGTGTGTATCCCGTTAACATCTGATTTTGCACACAGCTCAACTGATCACACTTGAGCTCTCCAAAGTGCTGAAAGTATTAACCATCTTGGCGTTTCTTTCTAATGTTATGTCTTCAAGATGGAGTGATATTTGGTCATGCCAACTTGGAATTATGAAAAACGGAAGAGACTCCGTTAGGGAAGACTTTGATATACTTTGGTTCTCCTCTGGTTTTGAACAAACTTTCATTCCACCCGCCTTTTATTTATTTTTATTTTATTTAAATTTGTATACCGCCCTTCTCCTGGTGGACTCAGGGCGGTGCACAGCCAAGTAAAAAACATCCAATACAAAATTTAAAAATTTAAAAGAATTATACCCTTTGGCCGAAAATTAAGAACCTTATGACTAAAACCCATTAAACAATTAAAAAATCTAATATCTCAAAAACGGGCGGGGGGGGGGTGTTTCACGCCAGCCCTGCTTGATGGGCCTTAATCTATTTTATACATTCCCTTGGATTCTAACCCTTCACAAAATAGCTTTACCTTATTCTTTGCTGACAAGGGACTCAGTGCCTCAGTGGCTAAGACGCTGAGCTTGTCGATCGAAAGGTCGGCAGTTCAGGGGTTCGAATCCCTAGTGCCATGTAATGGGGTGAACTCCTGTTACTTGTCCCAGCTTCTGCCAACCTAGCAGTTCGAAAGCATGTTAAAAAATGCAAGTAGAAAAATAGGGGCCACCTTTGGTGGGAAGGGAACAGCGTTCCGTGTGCCTTTGGCGTTGAGTCATGCCGGCCACATGACCATGGAGACGTCTTCGGACAGCGCTGGCTCTTCGGCTTTGAAACAGAGATGAGCACCGCCCCCTAGAGTCAGGAACGAATAGCACATATGTGCGAGAGGAACCTTTACCTTTTATTCTTTGCTGTGTCTTAACCTGATTTATGCTTTTAAGTTGCAGAAAATCTTATTTATTTTTTAATGTAGGGAATGTGAAGCCAATCCCAGCTAACTACATGCCCTAATGGCACCATTTCTTCAAGGTATTTTTTAAAATAGGGAAATGTATGAAGTTGAGCCTTAAGGGCATTTCAAGGATTTTTGTTTTGTTTTGAGCTTGTTTATTTGACAGTGGTTAGGGCATGGGAGTGTACCAAATGTCACATTAACCAGATTGCTCACCTCTGACACACAAAGAATTGGCAACGGTGCAAGCCTTGTAATTGTATTTTGAAACACAAAACTCCAGTGGCCCAATCGGCTGCAGCCGGCCAGGGAGAAAACAAAATATCAAGTTACTGAGTAATTAAGGAATCTCCAAATCATTAATGATTAGTTTCCTTAAGGCACAGAACAGGGCAATGTTTATGGATGATTCACATGGCTGAAATGAGATAGACTTTAGGGGTTTTTTCACACCTCACACAGATACACACTTTTTCCACCTGAAGGTGGATTGGGCTGAAAGAGAAGGACTGGCTCAAAGATTTCATGCCTAAAGCAGGACTAGAACTCATGGTCTCCTGATGATTGTCCCAAGGTCAACCAGTTGCTTTTCATGCCAAAGGTGGGACTAGAAGGCTCTGTCCCTGGTGATTGATCCACAGTCACCAGGGAGGATAAAAATCAATGATTTTCTAAAAATAATAATTTTAAAAATCAGATTTTTTTTTAATTTAAATAGGATTATTTTGATTTTTATCAAATTTATTTTAATAAAATGCTTTTGGAGTAAAAAATCTATCTAAAGATAGTTTTCTATTTAAGACCATTAATAATCTATTTTATTCGGTATGAAATGGAGCTTAGTCATGTAGCATGAGGCCGTATATTCTGCAATATTGGGGCTGTCGGTGAGTTAACAACGGGTCAGAGGAGGAGCCACTGCGGGACAGAGATGACAGTTGCTCTTTAAAAAGTATGATTTAAATTGAGTTGATTTAAATCAAGCCTTTTTTAGTAGTGATTTAAATCATTTATTTAAATTAAATCCACCCTCATAGTCACCCAGCCATTTTTTTTTATTGAAAAAGTTTTTCAAATACAAATTTTTCCCCCTTCCCCCCCCCCAGCCATCTTTGATGCTAAGGCTTGAAAGCAAGTTGGTGAAGGAATTCTGGGATTTGCAGTCCAAATATTAAAGTTGCTGAGAAACACTGCTGTAGATTCTACCTGTTTTGCTATGACTCATCCCAAGGTCTCTCTCTTATGCCCTGATTCCTTGGGGGGAAGGCAATAATGGTGAAACCTGTCAGTCCAATACTTGGATGGGGGGAAAATGAAGCCCTCCTTGCAAAACCTAAGGCTCATCTGTTGTACTTTTGATTTACAGTCGCTTGACTGTTTAAAGTTGTCCATTAAAAATTATGACGTCTGCTGATCGGAATCCTATTTTCTATGCATTAAGCACTTTTGTTGTTTGTTTCTGCTTTGGGCATTTTTGCTGAATAGCTCAGTGTTGTAAAAGGAATGTTAAAAGAGTGCGTGCATGAAAGTGCAGTGAATAGTCTGAGATTACTAATATCCTGTAAATCAGGTGCATTATTTTTAAAGGGCCTGCTGTGATTTATGACCTAAAGGGATAAATGGAGAAAGTAAATACGTCTAAGCTTCCTCATAAAATCCGGGGTAATCCCTTTCTCTTATTAAACCCCCATGTGTGGAAGTTCAGACAAATGTCATAATATAACATCATGCCTGTGAGCAGCAAATGATTTCAAGGGCACTTAAGATTTTGTGCCTGAGGTTTCCTTTGGAAGGAAATCATTTGAAGGTCATTGGTAAAGTACAAATTTGTACTTTATACAAATACAGATAGTCCTCAACTCATAACCAGAATTATGGTAGTAAGTCGTGGTGGTTGATAAGCAGATCATGCGATTGTGCCCGACCTTTTTACAGTGGTTGTTAAGTGAATGATGCGGTCATTAAACAAAAGTGCTTGTTGTTAAATAAACCCCATTTCCCTAATGGGCAGTAAACCAAAAGGAAACACTTGAAAACAGCAAAAAAAACTGAGAAGTGTTGGTCATGTGCTGCAGGGAGCCGTAAATGCAAGCTCAATTTCCAAGCGCCCAAAATGTGATCAAGTGATTGCAGGGGGGAGGGAACAGACATTGGCATTTCAAAAATGAGTCATAAGTAGTTCTGAAGAGGTCCTTTGTAACTTTGAATAGTTGCTGAGCGAGTGGCTATTAAGCGAGGACAACCTGTAGTGGTCTTTGTTTCTATGTGATGTAGGAGAGCAGGCAGAGCTAGGGGGCAGAGTTAAGTGAGTCATCAGCCTAGAATTGTTATGTTCCTGCAAATGGTCCGAATCAAACCCCTCTTGAGTTCAGTTCGGCCTTATCTGCCAATTTAGTTTTGAACTTTAGTTGACTAGATTCTTGTGTTTAAGCATGAGCAATAAATCTTCGGAACTAAAACTTTAACAGATGGTCCTGATCCTTTGCACTTGACATGTATGGCTTGAATCTAAGCAAAGGAACAGCTTCGCTTTTCCAAAGGTTCAGGTGACTCTCCCCCTCTTTCCACAACATTTTTCTAGGCTTAATACCTTAGCACCCTAAATATAGAGCCCTAACCTATCTCTGTTGACTTCTTAATGGACAGGTTCATAAAACAGACTAACCTAGAACAAGAAGACAGTCCCTGGAATCTGAAATCTTACTCAAGAGTATCAAAAAACATTTGGGGTTTTCCCTCTGATTGTATGAGATCTTCTCAAAGAGATTTGGAGAGCTCATATTTTAACTTTTCTTTCCCATTTTTTTTTTAATTTTATAAAAATATATTTTGCCATTTGGGGTTATTGTCAAACCTGCCCAAGCTAAGTCCCTAGGAAAGAAAGACCCTGACTCCATTTGGTTCAAGCAATAGGTTCTTTTATTAAGGATTAGAGGTTGCAGTAAAAGCAAGGCAAGGTCTGAGTATTTCTGCACAAAGTTACAAATCCCCCCCCCCCCCGGCGGTTCATGGCCCTCTCCACTAACTAGACCATCAGTGTCCAATAGCATCCTAGCTTCAAGTTTTGAGAACCACTTTGATTATAGGCGGTTTCACCTTCTTTCCCAGGCCAGGCATCCTTGAAGTGGTGGAAGCTAGCTGCTTAGCACCTCTGGTTCCTGTCAGTGTTCACCCTTTCCCCTAACATCTACCTTCTTTCCACCTGCACAGCTTCCCCGAGCAAGCCTAGAGAAGATGGCAGTGCTGACATTCGGGCCCCCTTGACATGGACGTTAATCCTGGGGGGAAAAAAAAGAGAAATAGGAAAAGAACAATTAGATTTGGGTTCATTGGGGTTTACCTGGGTATTCTCTATGGAATGTATGAAGGAGTTTCGAGGCCTTAACATGCTGAGTGTCCACCCATTCGGTTTGAGATGAGGGGAAATGCTGTGTCCTTACAAATGTCCTGCTTTGGTGACGGCCACCAGAATTGGCGCTTTGTGAAGTGTAAAGTTTTTGAATTGTGGCATTTCTACACTACAATTCATTGGCTTTCAGGCACATACAATTTGGCCCCCACCCAGGCTAAGTCATCATGTAGAGTACAGTCTGTTTGGTGGTCTCTGAACCACTAGTCCTCCTTCAACTCTACTTTCAAGATCATCTGGCACCTTTGGGGGAGCATTTTTCTTGAGCTCTAGTAGAAAAGTGGTACTGCCAATTGCTTGGATGGAATGACTAGTCTAATAATCTCAGCTTTAGAGCTGTTGTATTGGGGCAGCCATGGGAGGGCATCCGCCAAGAAGTTCTAACTGCCTGGGAGGTACCGTAAAGTGAAATTAAAATGATTAAAGTACTGAGCCCACCACACTTGTTGGGGGACAGTTTTCTGGTTTGTTTTTTTTAAAGCAGTTCTAGGTCTTTATGATCTGTCCAGACCTTGAAAGGAATTTTGTTCCCCTCTAGAAAATGCCTCCGTGTCAATAGTGTCCAGCTTACTGCATAGACTTCCTTTTCTCATACTACCCACCTGCGCTCTGTTTCACTCAGTTTTTTGGAAGTGTAGGCACATGACTGCAGGGTCCCTTGATCATTTTTATGCAGCAGCTCTGCATCCACAGCCACGTCACTGGTATCTGCTTGGATGACAAAGAAGGTGTTAGGGTTTGGTGCTTTAGTATGGGCTCCACCACAAATAGGCATTTGAGTTTTTCAAATGCCTCCTGGCACTCCATTGTCCATTTCAGTGGCTGACTGGGTTTGGGCTTCCCCCTCCCCTTTGTTTTCAGTAAGCTGGTGATACAAAGTGCTATCTGAGCAAATGATGGGCTTAACTGACAGTAAAAATTTGCAAATCCCAAGAAACTTTGGAGTTGTTTCTTGGTGTGAGGAGGAGCCCACCTCTAGGACTGCCTGCACCATCTCAGGGTCCATTTCTATTCCATCGTGGGAGATACAGAACCCAAGATAGTTAATTTTGCTTTGATGGAATTCGCACTTGGACAGTTTAGCATACAACTGAGCGGCCAGGAGTTTTCTGAGTGTGGCTCGGGCCAGCTTCACTTGCTCAGCCATGGTTTCAATGTAGATTAAAATATCATCCAAGTAAACTAGCAATAGCATTTAGACTTATATATCGCTTCACAGTGCTTTACAGCCCTCTAAGTGGTTACAGTCAGCCAATTGCCCCCAACAATCCGGGTCCTCATTTTACCCACCTCCTAAGGATGGAAGGCTGAGTCAACCTTGAGCCTGGTGAGATTCAAACTGCCAAACTGCTGGCAATCAGCAGAAGTAGCCTGCAGTGTTGCATTCTAACCACTGTGTCACCGTGGCTCAAACTAGGACTCCTTTATACAGGTGTTCATGCAGCACTTCTGTCAACTTGCAAAGCTTTCAACTTGACAACTTCATTTATCAGTCCCATTAAAACAGCAGGGGCGCCCTACAGTCCCAAAGGGAAGCATCCAAAATTGGAAAAATCCTAGAGGGCACTAAAAGCAGTCTTCTACTCGTCACCTTCCTTAATTCTAACTCAATAGTATGCCTCTCACAGATAACCCAGCTCTTTGGCCAGGTGGGCCAGCATGTCCTTCATCAGGGGTTTTACATCAAGCTCCCCTTGCACCCCACCTCTTTGTGGGCCCTGGGGCTAGGTTTTGGGCTGGCTGCGCAGCTCAGCAATTAGTGGCTCAGTGCCTCTTCCTTTCTTTCCTTCCTTCTCTTCTCTAGCTTCATAAATTGAGTTTTAAATTTGGAATTCTTAAATTTTTGGGTTTTTTAGTTAATTGGCCTTAAATGTAATACCTTTAATAATTTTTTAAATTTAAATTGTGATATTTGTATCGTGTTTTTACCTGGCTGTACACTGCCCCGAGTCCTTCGGGAGAGGGGCGGTATAGAAATAAAATTATCCTTATCCTTATCCTTCTCTCCCTCTCCTCCTTTCTTTCTGTCAGAAGGGATCTTCGCCACCTGAGGCTAGGTCGATCTCCACTTCTTCAGCCAGGACATACCACAGATGGGGTGCCCCAGGAGATGCAGGTGTTGTAGACGTCGACACTTAGCCTGTCTTGGAAACACTCGATAAAAGCAAGTTAATCAATCAGTCAAATTCTTGGGTGTAGGCAGCCACAGGTCTCCGGCTCTGGCTGATAGTCTTTATTCGCATTCTGGCTTTGCGATCGGTGAGTGGATCTTCAAATTTCTTTTGGAGCACTGCCATGAAAGTTGAAGTTGCGCAGCTCCAGGGCATCATCATTATCTATTCTGTCCACCCTCCCCCCCCAGCACAGCTTCCCTCCACCTGCAGAGCTTCCCCAATTTCCTCTATCCCCCCTGCACTCTGTTTATGGCAAGATGCCAGCAAGCATAGTGAAGCATAGCAAAAATGGCAGAGCTGACAGTTATCATAGGGCCTGAATTTTGCTCTATTGAGATTTACTCTGATGGGTATTACTTGTTCTTTGCTATTTTTTTTTTTAATTTCCTGTCTCTTTCTGGTTTTGTTTTGGTTTTTGTGTTATCACTACATTTTATATTTGGTTATTGTCTTTTCTTATCCCTTCTTTGTAAATTAGAAAGTAAAACCAATTGATAAATAAACCAGATGCCTAGAAATGTTATACTGCTGATGCCTGCTTTTGGGGGGGGGGGTCTGCGCATGTGCTAATCTCAGCAATATGCTTTATAGCATGGGGGTGTTCACTCGAGTTTGTTGCTTTTGGGTCTACATATAAAAAATAAATGTGATTTGTCCTTATTCTGCTTCAGATCAGCTTATTTTCAGGGCAAAGAAGCAAAAATGGACTATTTGAAATCCAGTGAATAATTAATTATACTTACACTTAATGACTGCTGCAAAAAGAGGCATAAAGTCATCTCAGTCATAAGGGGGAAATCTGTTTTACAACTATCATGACTTATGACCACGATGGGCAGGTTTCACCATGGTTGTAAGTCAAAGACCACCTCTACATCTCAAAAAAAATGACAACGGATCATCTCTACAATCCTCTCCCCTCAGATAGGGAACATTGTTCTGCTTTTACCTGCACATTCGCTTAGCCAACACATTGATAGAGTCAAAGGTTCTTTAAAAATTCCAACTTTTTTGACAATTTGGTGTCTGGAATCATTCCATTCAGCAGTTCCACACTCTGTCCTGGAGATAAGGAAAATCGGGTGCCTGTTCTTTGATAAATCACACACTTTTATATCATATTCGAACTTGGGCTCTGCTTTTAATCTGGCTCCCCCAGATTACTAAATCAGGAATACTTCACATTTCTTATCCTGAAACTCCATTTGAGCCTCATTCTTACTGACAGACTATTTTATCATTATTCGTAAAAGCAGAGACCCACTGCAAATAATTTATGAAGTGTCGAACCAAAGATAACTAATGATCAGCTGGCAGAGCCAGCATTAGTTTCTCAACAGTATTCCGTGCTTGAATATTCTAGTGGGCTCAAAGACAGGTGATACAGTTTCAGGAATCATTGGAGGAGGGGGGGGTGTTGCACAGCTCAGGTTAGTTTGCATTTGTCATCCAGTTGTTCCTCCTAGCTGTTCATCTAATAATGTGCAGATTAATGTTCAGTTTGAACATTATACAGCAAGTGGAATGGGACAATTTATCATGGCAACTTTTTCGCACTCACTTCAGCCCGACCCCATCACAGCTGACCTAGCTTAGGCATTTTCAGCTGGCCCTCTGCCAGCACCCCTTCCCCCCACATTGGTGCCCTGTCCTCCCCACCCACCCCTGCATGATCACGGCAGATTCACCCAAGGAAACATTCTTGACCAATTTGTGGTGCAGGACAACTAAACTCCAGCCGATCCCCACATTGAGGGATGGGGCCTCTGCCTTCTCAGTGGATGGCAGCAGCCTCGAGTGCCAGGGTCAAAGGGGTGGGGTCTGAAAAAGAGATGTGCCTTCAAGGGGCTGTTCAAGCTAGCAAACAGGGCTGGCTGGGCAGGGGCGCTAGCAGCTGGAGAGTGTTGGCAACACTCAAGGCTGGCGGATGTTCACTGGTGTTGCTCCCCACCCAGTTTTTGATTGGGCTGGCACTGTAAGAAGGCAGGGACCAAGAACGTGCACCAGCTTCAAGCCCCACCAACACCCCCCCCTTCCCGGCCATGAACATCTCTCCCTGCCTAGCCAGCCAGCCATCAGTGCTTGCTCAATCCCTAAAAGCACCCAGCATAGCAGGAGCTCTCCAAGCTGCACAGAAAAGCACAATGTTTTTATGCACATTTGTGCTCCACCCCATACTTTACAGGAGAAGTACCCCATCTCTGGAGTAGCAGCTGGGGGTGGGATTTTTTGTTGCAAAGGGAGTGTGTGTTCGCTGGCAAAGAGGGATGTCTGGGAGCCTCCCCCAAGATGTTTTGGGTCCCCACTGGTGGCCCAGAACTTTTGCCGTTGCCGCTACACTTTCAACAAGCCCCTAAATGCTGCCAACCCAGTGCAGGAGAGCTTGAGGGGATGGGGCAGCTGGAATTGCAAGAAGTGGAGTTCAGGGCTTATGCAATAGGCCATAGTGCCATAGTGGCAGAAGCATGGTGGTGGATCTCACACCGCAGGCCTTTCCAGACTCCACCTCTCTGTCCCAAGCCTCTCCGGAAACCGAGACTGCTGCCATTCATGGAGAAGGCAGAGGTCCTTTCCTTGGTATGGGGATCAACTGGCATTTATTTGTCCCAAATCGTGAATTGGCTAAGAATAAGTCTCACTGGGCAAATCACCCATGATTACGTGCCGAGGGGAAAGAACAGGAGATCAGTGGTGGAGATGGACTGCTAGCGCAGGGCCAATTGAGAATGAATGTCCACGATAGTTTGGCAATGATGGGAAAAGAGGGCTAAGGTCAGTGCGAAAATATCAATAAATTAAGCCAGTCCCTACTTTTGGGGCCCTCTGAACTACTAAGAACCACAGCCATGCCTAAAATTACATCAGAAGAAAAAACTATACTATTTTAGAAATGCACACAGACAACCATTCATTAAAAAGGGCAGAGATTTTACTTTGACTTTAAGAATCACTGCCATGTCTAACACTAAGCGGCAACAAAACTATCAAATCCTTTATATCTCATACACTACACCTTCCTATAAAAACAGCTGAAGTTTTTTCTCTATTCTAAGAACCATCCCATGGCCAAAGTTATATCAGGCAAGGAAACTCTAAAATCTAGTATAAACCAACAGCCACGCCAAGCCTTAAAATGGGCCACTGAGCACTAATCATTCTCATCAGAAGACCATGTTTCAAACCCCCTAAAAAAGTAGGGTTGGTTTTTCATCACTGAGGTATAAAGCCCTAACAATAGGGACAAAGTTGTGGATGTTGCTATGGCAACGTCACATGCATTCTATTCGTTTTTCATCTAGATTGTTTTATATAGAATCATTACTACGATTATATTGCGTTGGTCCATAGTGACATTGTCACAACCAGTTCAGGCACTTGAACCAGTTACCCCATCGCCATAGGGGTCACGCCCGATAGCCGTGCAATCCCAGCCACGGGTGGGTTTCCAGCCAACAGCCACGCCTAGCCTTAAAATGGGCCGTTGAGCTGTTTTCTGGTTCTAAGAACCATCGCCTTGGCCAAAATTACGCCAGGCAAGAAAACTATAAACTGTATTATCAGCCAATAGCCAGCCTAGCCTTAAAATGGGCCATTGAGCTGTTTTCTGGTTCTAAGAACCATCGCCTTGGCCAAAATTACGCCAGGCAACAAAACTATAAAATTCTATTATCAGCCAATAGCCACGCCTAGCCTTAAAGTGGGCCGTTGAGCTGTTTTCTGGTTCTAAGAACCATCGCCTTGGCCAAAATTACACCAGGCAAGAAAACTATGAACTGTATTATCAGCCAATAGCCATGCCTAGCATTAAAGTGGGCCGTTGAGCTGTTTTCTGGTTCTAAAAACCATCGCCTTGGCCAAAGTTACACCAGGCAAGAAAACTATAAACTCTATTATCAGCCAATAGCCACACCTAGCCTTAAAATGGGCCATTGAGCTGTGTTCTGGTTCTAAAAACCATCGCCTTGGCCAAATTACGCCAGGCAAGAAAACTATAAACTCTATTATCAGCCAATAGCCACGCCTAGCCTTAAAATGGGCCATTGAGCTGTGTTCTGGTTCTAAAAAACCATCGCCTTGGCCAAAATTACGCCAGGCAAGAAAACTATAAACTCTATTATCAGCCAATAGCCACGCCTAGCCTTAAAATGGGCCATTGAGCTGTGTTCTGGTTCTAAAAAAACGCCTTGGCAAAAATTACACCAGGCAAGAAAACTATAAACTGTATTATCAGCCAATAGCCATGCCTAGCATTAAAGTGGGCCGTTGAGCTGTTTTCTGGTTCTAAAAACATCGCCTTGGCCAAAGTTACACCAGGCAAGAAAACTATAAACTCTATTATCAGCCAATAGCCACACCTAGCCTTAAAATGGGCCATTGAGCTGTGTTTGGTTCTAAAAAACCATCGCCTTGGCCAAAATTACGCCAGGCAACAAAACTATAAACTCTATTATCAGCCAATAGCCACGCCTACCTTAAAATGGGCCATTGAGCTGTTTTCTGGTTCTAAAACCATCGCCTTGGCCAAAGTTACACCAGGCAAGAAAACTATAAACTCTATTATCAGCCAATAGCCACCCTAGCCTTAAAATGGGCCATTGAGCTGTGTTCTGGTTCTAAAAACCATCGCCTTGGCCAAAATTACGCCAGGCAAGAAAACTATAAACTCTATTATCAGCCAATAGCCACGCCTAGCCTTAAAATGGGCCATTGAGCTGTTTTCTGGTTCTAAAAAAAACGCCTTGGCCAAAATTACACCAGGCAAGAAAACTATAAACTGTATTATCAGCCAATAGCCATGCCTAGCATTAAAGTGGGCCGTTGAGCTGTTTTCTGGTTCTAAAAACCATCGCCTTGGCCAAAGTTACACCAGGCAAGAAAACTATAAACTCTATTATCAGCCAATAGCCACACCTAGCCTTAAAATGGGCCATTGAGCTGTGTTCTGGTTCTAAAAACCATCGCCTTGGCCAAAATTACGCCAGGCAACAAAACTATAAACTCTATTATCAGCCAATAGCCACGCCTAGCCTTAAAATGGGCCATTGAGCTGTGTTCTGGTTCTAAAAACCATCGCCTTGGCCAAAGTTACACCAGGCAAGAAAACTATAAACTCTATTATCAGCCAATAGCCACACCTAGCCTTAAAATGGGCCATTGAGCTGTTTCTGGTTCTAAAAACCATCGCCTTGGCCAAATTACGCCAGGCAAGAAAACTATAAACTCTATTATCAGCCAATAGCCACACCTAGCCTTAAAATGGGCCATTGAGCTGTTTTCTGGTTCTAAGAACCATCGCCTTGGCCAAAATTACGCCAGGCAAGAAAACTATAAACTCTATTATCAGCCAATAGCCACGCCTAGCCTTAAAGTGGGCCATTGAGCTGTTTTCTGGTTCTAAAAACCATCGCCTTGGCCAAATTACGCCAGGCAAGAAAACTATAAACTCTATTATCAGCCAATAGCCACGCCTAGCCTTAAAATGGGCCATTGAGCTGTGTTCTGGTTCTAAAAACCATCGCCTTGGCCAAAATTACGCCAGGCAACAAAACTATAAACTCTATTATCAACCAATAGCCACGCCTAGCCTTAAAATGGGCCATTGAGCTGTTTTCTGGTTCTAAAACCATCGCCTTGGCCAAAATTATGCCAGGCAAGAAAAC